AGGCTTGGAGGGCTGGCTGCATGAAGACAGCTGAGATTAGGGCCTGTCAGCCACAGGAGGGGCCGTGCGAGAAGGGGTGCAGGCACCCGGGGGCTACTGTTGGCTGCCCCGGACTTGTTGGGACAGGGGGGCAGGAATTCGGATGCTGGGTCAGGTTCTCCTGCGGCTCTGACCAGCCTCTACCTCTCCACTGACCACTCCCAGTGGTGGGGGCAGGGCAGGGAGAGTCAGGGGCTGGGGCTCCAGGGTAAACACACTAATGGGTCTGAGGGAGAGTCAGGGAGGAATGTGGGCCCCACAGGCCCTGGGGACTCAGGGAGGGATGGGAGGAAAGGGGATAAGGACCCAGAAGCCGGGGGGCCTCAGGTATGCAGGTGGGGGAGAAAGGGAGAGGGAGAGAGAGGAAGACAGGAGGAGCACAAGCAAAAGGGAGGAAGATGCCAGCAGCCACATTGAATCCTTGCAATCCCCCGGTGCCTCCTTCTCCCTAGTCCCTAGACCTTTGCAGAAGCCGAGCCCTACCCTGTGAGACAAGGGGCATGGAGGGGCTGTGTCATTTCCAGCCTGTCATTGACCGCGGGTCCTGGGGATGGCAGGGAACCTCTCTGAGCTTCAGTTTCCTTAAAACTAGGACATTCCTAGGGATGCCATCGTGGTGAAATGAGATGACCAGCAAGAATGGCACTAGAATTTCCGTGCAGTCAGCCGCCTCCCCCACTACCACCTCGTGATCTCTTTTCCTGGTTTGTGACTTCCCTGAAGGCCTGGCCTACGGCTCATCACCATGGCACTCTGGCACATGCCTAGCACACCTGTGGCCCCTTCGTTTGCTGAGTGATCAGTTGCAAGAAGGCACACCCGGGGGGAGATGTGAGAAATGAGAGGAAAGGTGGGGGGTGAGCAGAGGACCCCAGCCCATGCTCTCCCTCCAGAACGGCCCCGCCCCAATCGCAGGCCACTCCTCTGGTCTTTTATAGCCTTCCTTCTAGGGCAGAGCTTGGCACGCTACGCTTGCTGCTAGACAGTGAGCATACTTCCCCTCCTGGAAACAGGACATATGGGATCATGCCACGTGTCTCCTGGAGTTGGTAGAGGCAGAGGAATTGACCCCAGGCCCTTCTCAGGAGCTCCAGGACTTGCGGTCACTACAGCCATGTTCCATAGAGCCAGGAACCCAGAACGGACCAGAGCAGGGCTGGTGGGGACGGGGGCCCTCAGGGGTAGCAAAAAGGGAGGCTGAGACACTGCTGAGCCTGTAAGGTCGAAGGTGGACCAGGGAAACGGGAGCAAGATTGCATCGTGGTTTCAAGAGAGGAATCTTCCTCCTCTCCCCCCACCATCGGCATAAATTGGTCTTCCACAATTGCTACAGGGATTCCGCTAGAAGATGGCATCACTCCCCACTCCCCATTTTGAGCTAGGTCGTCAGAGAAGCAGCCCAGGACTTTGAGAATATTCCAGAAAGGTGTGAGCTTAGGCATGAAGAAAGGCCCGAGTTCGAATCTCCGCTCTGCCACTCGGCAAATGACTTGAGCTCCCTGAACCTCAGTTTTCTCCTCTGTAGAATGGGATAACAACTGGTACCCTGCAGGGTGATTGTGACGATTAAAAGAAATACCCTGTGGGAAAGGGAGAAGGGAAATCTCTTCTTATGGAAGAATGCCAACTAGAAATAGGAATGACAGCATTAGAAAAATCACCATTTGCCATTGATTGGGGCAAGGATCACCAACGGAGACTGAGGCTATTGGGTAAAATATTATTGGGCCACACGATATTCCCAGTCTCAGAGCATCGCTCCACAGATGAGTCATACATCACATGAGCCACAAAGGGGAAAAGGCAGCTTTTTATCAGAGAGATCTGGCAGAAACCACGTTAACCAGGTGATGAAATCCAACATCACCGGTAACGTTGACAGCCGCATCCCACGGCTCCTGACGGCATGCGCTGAGAAGGACACCCATCACCCAAGTAGAGGTCTCGCCAGAGTGTTTACAGAGTGTAACCATAAGGAACCAATCAGACAGATCTCCACGGAGTACCATTCTACAAGACATCCTGCCCGAACCATTCCAAAACGGCAACGTCCTGCATGGACACGAAGAAGGCAAGAGGAATATCTGTGATTACAGGGGGCTAGAGACATAGGACGACAAAATGCATAGCCTGATTCTTGAGTGGATCCTGAGTCAGGAAAAAAAAAATGGATAAAAGGCCTTTGGAGGGAGAATTGGGGAAGTCTGAATAAGGACTGTGTGGTAGATGATATTGTGTCAATATTGGATGGGATGACGGCCTTATGGTTCTTCTGGAGAACGTTCTTGTTCTTAGGAGATAGGTGGGAAAATATGTCCGCGTCTCAGTGTCCGCAATGTTCTCATAAATGGTTCAAGATAACGCACCCGCAGGCAGAGGGAGCACACATGGCGAAGCATTTTTAAAAGGGGGGTTTCCATAGGCTCAAGAACCTAGCCGCTGTCTTGGAGAGCTCTGATCCCCAGGAAGAGTGGGGCACCGAGCAGCTAAGGGTGGAAAGGCCAGAGGGTTTGATTGGGGACCAGTTTATGGACTAGAGCAGCGGAAAGTCCTTTCTACTCTTATGTAACGTTCAGCCTCCTCCCACTGGGATCCGGGGGAGGCTGAGAGTTAGGTGGAGTAGAAAGAACATAGATTTGGGGGCAAAGACCTGGGTGGCCTAGCTAAGTGGCTTCAGTGAGTCCCTGAACCATGTTGTGCCTCACTTTCCCTATCTGTAAAGGGAAGAAGGATGCCCTTCCCGTGAGGTGAGGCTCGAGTGGGAAATCCCTCGGGGCCCTGGAACCTGCTGCGTGTGGACACGTCTGTCTCCACGCCAGGCCTGGGAGCCCTGGGCAGGAAGAGCCCATGAGGAGGACAGCCACGCTGGTGGAACTGTTGGTTCTCTCAGGTTGGACTATAGACCTCCCTCTGCCTCCTTCCCTGGGTACTCCTGAGGGTCCCAGCAGGGCTGGAGAGTGGTCATAGGGCAGAGCCTCTTGCCCTATCAGACCCCCAGGAGCAGAGGCTGGTTGAGGACCTGAATTTCCCAAAGCATGCTGGGAAGGCAGAGTGGCCTGAGGAGGGACGCTTGGGCTGACACACAAATGACTCAAACCAATGCGCAGTCGTGCCTCTCATTTCTCCCAACCAATCCTAAGTCCTGAAGGTTCTGGCTTTGCCTCGTCCTGCCCCCACCCAAACCTGCATCGCTGGCCATGAAACTGGGGCTCTAGAAATACTTACCGTCTGGGAGGGCACCCAGGCTCCGGCCTGATCTGACGTGGCATGCAAACTTGGATGGGTTACTTCCTTCCTCTGGGCCTCAGGTGACCAGAATCCATAAAAGGGGGTGATCCATCCCTGAAATGCCTACATCTGAGCGGGACAGCAGGTGGAGAGAGGAGGGAATACACATTTCGGAGGTTGTGCGGTCCAATCCTGACACCGCTGCTTGCGAGTGGCATCTGGGAGCTTTTACGTCTCACAACCTTCATTTCCTTAACCGATGCTGGTGCTTGTGCCCAGTGTGTAAGGTGGTTTCAATAAATGAGACAAAGTGGGTATAGAAGCGGACATGTAGTTTATTGGTTTATTGTCTCCCTGCCCCCCCACGAGAGTGTCAGTCCCGGGAGGCGGGGACTTGGTCCCGCTCACTGCTGCCCCCCAGCCTCCAGGGTGGTGCGGGCACCCGTAGGAACTCCCTAAGCAATCGTATGGATGGGCAGAACAAGGTGCTCAATACACGATAGCTCCCACGGTAATCCTAAAATGTGCCAAGACAAAAAGCATTTGAAGTTCATGGTTGTTAGAGAGAGAGAGAGAGAGAGAGAGAGAGAGAGAGAGAGAGAGAGAGAGAGAGAGAGAGAGAGAGAGAGAGAGAACCTCTGGAAAGCAAGAAATAACGGTCAGGGTTGGCACAGGTCTGTCGCTCTGTCCGTCGGGCAACGGAGGACACGAGGGAAGCCGGTGTGTCTGGACCAGGGGATGGAGATGATGTGCCCATGAGGTCCCGGTGGAGCATCTGTAAGTCAAGTGGGCGGCGGCGGCTGGTCCTTGGCCACCTGGGGAGCCCCGTGCCCTCTGTCTCTGAGGGCTCCCCTCTCGAGCTGACTTCGGCCAGGTGGCATCGCAGGCCCAGGCTACCGGTGCAGCTGATGTTACAGGAGAAGCCAGAAATCCCATGGGAAACAATTCATTTTTTTAAATAAAAACACTAATAAAAGCAGACCCATCTGTGGCTGGAAGGAGCCCTGTGAAGCCGCCCGACCTCTTGGGTGGCCTGGGCAGGAGGAGGGGGGTCCGATGGTGGCGCCCCTGGAGTGACCCCCGACGGGGTCCTTGTCTCTCCAGCCTCATTGGGCAGTCCCAGCCCCGAGACAGAGGAATCCATGGGGAAATGCCGGAGTGCTGTCCTTATCCAAACGGCCCATGTCACCCACCGCCAGGGAAGCAGCCACTGCCGCGGGTCCTTGGGCTGAGGGCGTATCCGGGCTCTGCGGCTCCCGGGCTCAGGATCAGTCAGCCCGCACAGAGCCTGGCCCAAGAGACGTTCGGTCCATAGTCACTGACGGGCCCTCTTCAGCGTGACTCTGAGCACGGCCTTCCCGTCCGGGGCCGCATCTGTGTAACGGGCACAGCGACATGGTCCCGCCGACCTCACCGGGGAAACGGGGAAAGCAGGTGAGCTTCTGGGGGTTTCTGAAGATTGAAAGTGCTTTACAGATTCAAGGTGTGGTCATCCTTGTTGTCATCAGTGTCATGAGCAAGACAGTGTGGCCAGAGCAGGAGAGGGGGCCTGGGACCAGAAGAGCAGAGAGTTCCAGACTTCGCAAAGAGGATCCGGATCAAGCCAATGGGGCTCATGCAGAAGGGGGGGGGGGGGGGGGGGAGTCATGCCACAGGTGCTGCCCATAGAATATAGAAACTATATAAATAACATAAATATTTTCTCATATATCTTAGCTATATAAATTATTCTCTTTTTGCCCTAAAATCTATATATGTGAGGTAGACAACAAATACCCTGTGAGTGATTCCCTTAAAGCTGTATAGAATGAGGGGTCAGTGGTAACTGGTCCCCAGGGTCCCGGCAGGACTGAGGTGGACCTCTGGGGGCAACTGGAAGAGAAAGGGTGGGAGCCACAAAAGAGAAGGAAGGGCTGGAGAGAGGTGGCCTCACAGGCGGAGGGGCCCTGAGAGCCTGCATCCAGGCCCTTGGCCTGGGCTGTCTGTGTTGGTGGCCAGCCATGGCCTTGGTCCCTTAGAGTCTGCCCTTTATCCTCCTGCACCCCTGACACCGCCGGCCTGGGTGCTGGGGTGCAGATGGCATGTTGTAGATCATGCTCCTCCTCCTGCCGCTGTAGGCCTCCGGCTGAGCCAGCATGGGGGCAGAGTTGGGTCTCTGGGGAGCAAGATGGCTGCGGCTGGCAGAGTCTCCAGGCGGTGGGAGTGGGGGAGAAACGAGAAAACCAGCCCCCTCTCCTGGGTGCTCTTTCTGCCAGCTGTGGGCCAGCTGCTTGGGTGCGTGGTCAGTCCAGAAAGGGGGCTCATCAGAGCCTCTGGGGCCAGAGATCCTTCCAGCATCCTGCAGGCTGCCCGCACGTCTCGCCCTCAGAGGCCTCGCCCCGAGGCTTCTTCCTGAGGCCCCAGTGGAGTTTCTGAGCGCTCAGCTGACTCTGACGCTTCCTGTTTCAGTGGAGGGTCAGCAACTCTGCGTTCAGGGTGAGAGGAAGCTGACAGAGGGCGCGGCCGGGCGAGCAGAGTGGCCAAGGGCATCCCAGAGGAGGTCACTTCCTCCCGGCTGGCTCCGAGCCCTGCTCTGGGGAAGCACGGCCGCCAGCAAAGTGATCCCTGCGGGGTTTTGGTCCTGAACCAGAGGACTGTGTGCTGCCAAGGGAGAAGCCTCAGCTTGGCAGATCCAAGGGGCATGCGCGTGTGTGTGTGTGTGTGTGTGCGCACGCATTTGTATGTGTGTGTACATGCATGTGTGCGTGTGCGTGCGTGTGTGTGTGTGTGTGTGTGTGAGTGTACCAGCCTCTCTCTCCTCCTCCCACACAGGGCCTTGGGAGGTATCACTGAAAATGCCCATGGGATTGGAGGAATTCAGCAGTTACTTCTGTTTTTTAGGTAGAGGGCCCATTAGTAAATAAAGGGGCTCCCTAAGAAACCAGGCTTAGCAAAGACTTTCATGTCCCTACACCTCCCCAGGGCAAAAACCTTAAGAAGATGAGTAGCTGTTAGAGTAGAAATGTAACCAGGATCAGGACGCATAAGCCAACTCTCCTGTACCCCAAATGTCAACTGTGTGGGGGCCGCACAGCACAGGGGGACCCCAACCTTGGGGACCAGAGCCAGCTCCAGGAGAAGCTGAGACACTGAGCTTGCCTGGTACCACATTCTGCCTGGCACCAGGGGGCTGTCACCCTCTCCTGGGTGGGGACTAAAGGATCTGTGTCCCAGAGCAAACAGGGAGGGTGCACCCTCGATGCATCCTCTGAGCCCCCCCGGCACTGCGCCCCCTCTGGGTCTTGCATCCGTGGGTACTCTTGCTGAGCAAGGCTGGGTGGGGCTGGGTAACAGCTCTCAAGACAAGAAAGAGGCCTCAGCACGGGCAGATTTTAAAAACATAATCAGGGACTCGGAGTCTAGGACATGTCTCCGACGTGGCCCATTCCAGCCCAGAAAGCTTGCTTTTCTCCAAACCCACGGCTCCCAGCCCCTGGCCTTGGCCCTTGTCTCTGGGTGGTGACCGTTTGTGGCCCCTGGGCCCACCGCGCCTGGAGCAGGGCCCCCGGGAGGGACTGACCCCTCCCAGCCAGGCTCCAGCCTGAGCTTCCAGCTGGCACTGCCTCCTGGTGCCCTCCTCACCCCGAAGCTCAATTCCCTGCCTCTTCCGGGGCGGGGCGGCGCTGGGCCTCGCGTCCTAGGAACGGAGATGGCGAGGGATTTCTCCCGTCCCCTCTGAAACCTCAGGCCTGCCCTCCTCCCGGCCTCTCTCATTTCCTTCCACTTCTTTCCCACTCTGCCTTCCTGCTGCAAGTCCTCAAAAAAAGACTGGGGACCCTCGGGCTCAGGGTAGAGCCTGCCCCTCGCATGGCTGAGTGTTGAGGGAGGGGGAGGCTGCCAGGCGTGATGGGGAGAGGAAGGAGCATGGGTGCCCATGGGCACGCCCATCGATGAGCGCATGCGTGCAGGCGTATCTGCCCCGAGGGGCCAGCCGGACAGCTGGGCGGCTCTGGGCACTGAGTGAGGGGGTCCTGGCAGTGCCCGGCTGGCACACCGGGCGGCCGACCTAGGGCTTGCAGGTGTACAGGAGCTCCTCCTGCACGCACTGCTGGCACTCCACGTAGCAGCACCACTGCACCTGGCAGTGGCAGGAGAAGGCCACCAGGCGGCTCTGGGTGTCGTAGCCCCGCCCGCAGCACAGGCTGCTGCAGCTGGCCTCCCGGGAGCACACCCTGCCCGCCGTGCCCGGGGAGTACTTGCTGGGCTGGCAGAAGCTGGGCGAGTCCTCCATGTAGACCAGGTCCCCCGGCCGGGGGGCCAGGCCCTTGGCGGGACCGTCCAGCCTGGCGGGCGCCCACAGCTCCAGGCGGCCCAGGGCCTCGTTGGTGGCGCTGGACACCTTGACGGCCGAGTCGTAGCGCAGCTTGAGCGCCTGGCCCGTCTCCCGGAACGGGGAGAGCTGCTTCCAGCAGGTGCGCACGGCGCAGGAGCCGGACACGCCGTGGCACTTGCAGGTGGTCCTGAGGCCACTCTTGACGGCCTGGGGGGGAGGCAGAGGGAGGCGGGTCAGAGGCACAGGGCGACCCCCTCCCCCGGCGGGGGAGGGGCAGGAAGATGGGAGAGTTTGCCAGGTGGCATCTCTGTGCAAACTAGCCCCAGGCTCCTCTTGCCCTGGGCAGAAGCAGTCCGATGCCAACGGGCATGCCGCGATGAGAGAGGGCTGGGCTGGCCCCTCCCCGGGCCGGAGACCCTGCGGCGTGGACGGCGAGCACAGCCGAGGACAGCAGCCGTGGTCTGCACAGCTCAGTGATGAGGGCCTGGACCTCGGCTTCCTGAGGCCCTTCCTCCCGCAGCCCGCTCATCCCACAGACCTGGACACCGTTTACCCTCCAGTCCAGGAGAGGCAGCTACTGTGTGACCCCAGCCAAGTCCCGTCCCTCGCCTGGGCCTCCTCCTCTTCCCGTGTGTGAACTCGGAGGAGGAGTGCAGGTTGCACCGGATCAGAGCTTTCTGACGACGTTGACTACTAAGGCCTCCAGGAAGGCTGGTCCTTGGAACGGAGACCCCTTTCCAAACGTTCCTGCCTCACGGGGGCCTGTCCCCCCCACCCTGGCCCCCACCCGCTGCCCAGCGCCGCTGACCCCCGGGAACCTTCCCTGTGTCCTGGTCACCGCCCTCAGCCGCTGCCCAAGGAACGCTGGTTGAAAAAAAGAGGTTCAGGGGGGTGAAGGCATGAATAGGAGGTGGGGGGTAATGGGGGAATAAGGACACATATGTAATACCTTAATCAAGCAATAAATTTTTTTTAAAGAGGTTTCTTCCTGGGACGGCTGTGTGTGTGTGTGTGTGCGTGTGTGTGTGCGTGTGTGCGCGCGCGCGCGTGTGCGTGTGTGTGCGTGCGTGTGTGTATGCGTGTGTGTGCGCGTGCGTGTGCGCGTGTGTGTGTGTGTGTGTGTGTGTGTGTGTGTGCTGGGGGGCCGGTGGGGAGGACGGGCTGGGGCCCCGGGAGCGCGCTCACCTTGATGCCCACGTTGGTGTTGTGGGCGTCGGCCCGCGCCCGCAGGTCCTTGCTCCCCCTCTTGGGCCCCAGGAAGTTGCTCAGGAACTTGGTGCTGTACTTGAGGTTGTCGCCGCACACGCCCCACTGCCAGGCCTGCCGGCTCTCCAGGCCCGGGGAGTCGTCGCAGGTGCAGCGCTCCATGCGGCCGGCGCTGCAGGCCCGCGCCAGCGTGTGCGTGAGGGCGGCCGCTGACACCGCGTACAGGAAGGCCGTCTCCTTGAAGCCTGGCCGGGGCGCGGGGGGAGGGGCGCGTGAACCCGAGGACCCTGCCCTTGGGCTCAGGCCGCGAGGTGCTATTTAAGATGGGCCTTTCCATTCACTGTGAGTATACACCCCGATTCCCCAGGCGGAGTCTGGGGGCAGTGGAGGGCTGGGGGCAGGGGAACAGGTGCAAACACTGAGATGCAAAGAGAAGGGACTTAGGCACCTGGTGAGGGGGACACAGCTGGGACTGAACCGCTGCTCCTGACTCCACATCCAGGTGTGAACAAGTTGGACTAATCCACTTCTGAAGCCTTCAACTCTCTGTCACATGCCCTCACTAACGGGCCTCATTAACCCAGGACTCTGCTCCCCAGGACTGGGCTGGATTCGCAAGGGCAGTGTGGCCTGAGCATAGGGGCCAGGGGTGTGGGAAGGGCATCCTCCCAGCCCTCCTGCCCCCAGCCCTCCTCCTCCCTGCCCTCCTGCCCCCAGCCCTCCTCCTCCCAGCCCTCCTCCTCCCAGCCCTCCTCCTCCCTGCCCTCCTCCTCCCTGCCCTCCTCCTCTTCCCTCTTCCTCTCTGCCCTCCTCCTCCCAGCCCTCCTCCTCCCTGCCATCCTCCTCCCAGCCCTCCTCCTCCCAGCCCTCCTCCTCCTCTTCCCTCCTCCTCCCAGCCCTCCTCCTCCTCTTCCCTCCTCCTCCCTGCCCTCCTCCTCCCAGCCCTCCTCCTCCTCTTCCCTCCTCCTCCCTGCCCTCCTCCTCCCAGCCCTCCTCCTCCCAGCCCTCCTCCTCCCTGCCCTCCTCCTCCCAGCCCTCCTCCTCCCTGCCCTCCTCCTCCCAGCCCTCCTCCTCCCAGCCCTCCTCCTCCCTGCCCTCCTCCTCCCAGCCCTCCTCTTCTCTGCCCTCCTCCCTACCTCTCTTGAGCAGGCCGGTCCTCCCCTCCAGGCTGCAGTTCCAGCGCTCCTGCCGAAACTGGAACTGGCACTCCAGCAGGCTGAGGTGGGCAGCATCCTGCAGGGTCTCGGCCAGGCCGGGTTCCCGCCGGCAGAGCTGCTTCTGCCGCCGGGACAGCTTCAGCAGGTCGCACTGCTTCAGGTGGGCCCCGCCCTGGGCCGGCGCCGCCGCGGTGCCCAGCCCGGCGAAGGGCGTCAGGACCTCCCGGCCAGTCAGGCTAGGAGGGCGAGAAGGCAGGCCCGTGACCCTGGGGAGTCCCAATGGGGCGACGGATTGGGGGAGAGAACTAAAGAGGACAGGTCTGGAGCACGTGGGCAGGCCAGGGGAAGGGGCCTTCGTGGAGGGGTTCGCCATTTCCGGAGGGAGGCCGGCCCCATGGGCCTACAGTCCCTTTTTGCAGAGCAGGAAGCCAAGGGGCTGCCAACAAGGGCCAGGGCAGGGTCCCAAGCGTGTCTTCTAGATGCCAAAGTCTCTGCTCTTCTTGCCCACCCAGTTCCTTACGCAATCACCCGGTGCTTAACAACACAGACCTCCAGGATCCACTCTTAGCAAGTCTGCTTCTGTGGGTCTGGAGTGGGGCCTGGGGAATCTGTATATTTACAGATTCAATGATCAGGGAAGTCTGGAAATACTGCAGGTAGCATTGGCTGTTCAGAGGGGAGAGCCACACTCATTCCAAAGGCGGGGATGGGGGTGGGGGATGGGGTAGGGGTGGGGGGAGGCTGAGAGCTGTACACGGTGAGCAGACACCCAGCCATTCTCCCCGATGGTCCTTTCCCCCTGACACATGTCACCGCCCAAGTAATCCCACGCCAACCTAACTTGTTCCCAGATCATCAACCACCTGGCCACTCAGTGCCTGTTATAAGAAATGCTTGGGGAATATTCGTGTTGGTGGAAGAATGGGTGGAAGGAAAGAAAGAAGGAGGGAGGGGAGGGAAGGGAGGATGGGGGGGTGGGTGGATGGACAGACTGACAGATGGGTGAGTAAAGGTGACGGGGCTGAATTGCCATCAGTCCCCGACTTCTCGTTATACAATAACATCTGAAGCTTGTGGGTGCTGGAATCCGGCTGCCACGTTCTGAGCCTGTCTGCCACTGCCTCGCTGTATAACCTTGAAGCCTTGGTTTTCTCCTCCGGAAAGTGGGACCAGTGATGCTCTCTACCTCCTGGGGGTGTCGGGGATGATCACGTGAAAAGTACCAACCGCAGTGCCTGGGGACATGCGAGAGTTTCTCAAAATCCTTTCCTCCTGCAAGATGCTTGACTGTCTAACTTGGGCAGAGTCTTCCCTTTGTCCAGAGAAGGAAACAGAGGCTTTTGGAAGAGGCAGTGACGGGCCCGAGTCGCCCAGCAGGCCAGCAGCAGGGTGGGGACTAGGATTAGAGCGCGCCTTCCCCTCCCCGCAGGCTCTCTGTGACATGGTTCTACCAGTTCGAAAACCCACTGTCCCATCCCCTGGTGGCCTCCGCGAGGGCGGAAAATATGTCATCCCAGACGCAGGCTGGAGGACGTAACCCCTTTCTGGAACATGCTGGCCTCCTGGTCAAGGTAAAAGAACGAAGGTAGAACCACACAGAGGCTTTTAAAGCTCCTGCTTGAACGTGGCACTGGCCATTCCTGCTCCAAGGCAAGTCCTGGCCAAGCCCCGAGGGGTCAGAAAGGCCCGTGTTCCGTGGACACAGGGGCACAGTCCCCCGTTCGGAGCCACCTGCCCGGCCAGGACACCTGGCCAGACGCCATGCCCTCCCTGTCTGGGTGGGCGCCGGTGCTGGCCGGGCCCCAGGTGCCCCCAGAAAGCGCCTGTAGGTTCCAAACCCATCAGGTGCAGCCAACCCAGCACGGAGCATATCTCTGAAACCTCCGAGCAGAGACAGATGCTATCAGGCTCCTCCTGGCCCAGCCTGGCCCTGGTTCCCCTCCCAGACAGGGTGAGGGCAGGGGCCCGTTAATCATTAACCTGGGGGCAAATGGGTAAATTTCCAGTCCGCCAGGCCTACACCCAAGCCCCTCCCGGCAGCCTGGCAGGAAACCCTGGGAGCTTGACCCTTGGCTGGTCCACGGCAGAACCTGATGTCAACTCCTCCAGTTGAGGGGGCCCCACCCTGACCGGCTTCCAGGGCGGAGAGCCCCTGGGGGGCTGCAGGCAGCAAAGGGGCAGCAGCCACGCAGCCCCCCAAATGTCCTCCCCGCGCTAGGGACAGTGCCTGCCCGGGCAGTTCCCATGTTTCAGAAATTGCTGCTTTCCTTACAGCAGCTGATTGGCAGATGGCAGAATGAGCAGGGAGGGATAGGGATTTTGATCAACAGTGTTGCCCGTCCTTCAAGGCCTGTCTCAAATGCATTTTAAGAATAATAGCTATCATTGTTGTATCATTACAGGTACGTGATGTTATATGAGATGATACAGCTACCACTTTATGAGTGCTTATTTCTAAGCCCCTTAAATTACTATGCAGACACCTGAAGAGGCAGTGACTGGGCAGATCAGCAGCAAGGTGGGGACTAGGATTAGAGCTCTCCGTGAAATGGTTCTATCAGCTCAAAACAGCCCTGTTCCCTGGTGGCCCTCTGCATGGGTTGGCTGCCCTGCTGTTCTGGCCTGTTGATTGAACCAATGAGGATCACATGACCCAAGCTGGGCCAATCAGTCCTTTCTCTGGGAATTTGAAATGTGAATTAAGAGAGCATACAGTTGCTTTCTCTCTCTTTTTTGGTGACTGGCCTGTAACTCAGGCGATTTTTTTTTTAATTTTTTTTTTTAAAAGGAAGCTGGTCTAAAGAGAGAATGAATCAATGCCTCAAGAGAGTGGGAGAGAGAATTTGGGGAGCAGGGTCTTTCTGAGGTCAGCTGTGTTCTTGCTTGAGATGCCCCTACCTGTAATACAGTGTCAAGACTTGGAGTTGGTTTGTCTAACTAAGGGTGCCTGCAGCTCCTGGTGAGGTTCTTATGACAGCTGTGGAGTACCAGTGTGCCCAAGGCTGCTCCTGGGCTGCCCTAGCCAGGCTCAGTACCCTTTCCCCATGCACAGGCACATGTTTTGTTTTTGTTTTTAAATTCCATGTAAGAGAGCCTGTGATTGACGGCCCCAGGAGTCCGGTATAAAGTCGGTTAATTTTATTAGCGGTAATGACACTAAGTAGCGATTAATGGTCGGGAAAGGCAGCCAACCGCACAGGGACCTCCGGCCACGTTGGGCCTTGGGCTGCCCTCAGAGAAGGCTCCCTGGCACTGCCCCTCAGGGGCGAGGAGGCGGACAGCTGGGAGCCCTTCCGGGACCCAGTTTTCCCCTTATTTGTTTTCCATGTTGTGGTTGGAGATCATATTTCCTTTGAAGAAAGAGGGCCCTGACATCAAATTTAGAGGATGCCTGGAGGCATTTCCTTAAAACCGCGCTTGTGAGCTCTTCTCCACGTGCCCATCCCAGGGCATCTGCTGGGGAAGGCTTCTTCCTGACCTTGGAAGAATTCCAGGAGGTGCAGGCTCCAGTCTGTTCCAGGTCAGTGGTCAGGATCCCCTTTCCTTAAAGAAACCACACCCTCTGGTACCCCAGGCCTGAGAACCCACACACCAGGCCCCTCTGCAAAAGTCTCAACTGCCCACATATTAGCTGATCCCCATGGGAGTAAACAGGAGAAGATCAAGTGGCCTTCGTTAATCTAACAAATCCAGACAAATTTGGGGGTTCTAATAAAGACACGGCTCCTCGGTGAGGTCCGACTATCAGCCAAACAAGTGACCAGCGTTCTGAACCAAAGAGCAGAGGATGGAGAATTTGCAACTTTCCTTGTTGCTCTTCTGCGCCGGGGGACTAGCCTCCAGGCTTCCCCGCCTGACTGCTGTTCCTGAGACACCTGGGACCTCATGGGTGGCACCTGCGTGGGCCCAGCTGGTCTCCCCCATTCCTGCATCCAGTCCGGCTTCCACAGGCTGCTTTCCAGACTCTCTTCTCCGTTAGGAATGTAACAACCCCCTGTGGCCATCTCCATTCTCCTCCCTTCTTTGGCCCCAGCCTATATCTTCTGCCCCCCCCCCCCCCCGCCCCCTTGGCCCATGACCCTTAGGTTAATAATAAGACCAGAAACCCCCACTCCCATGCAATGAGATGCACCTGGCTTTGACCCCTGACCATCCCAGACACTTCCCTGGCCACCTCATCTCCCCATGGAGTGAAAAAAGGCAAGGGTGCCCCTTAGGACTCCATCTCACATTCACCCCCGGCCCCACCCCCCACCCCAGATGTCTCTTCTGTCTGCTCCTGCCTCCTTTCACATTCCCCAAGGTTACCCACAGTTTGGGCTAGAGCAGCCCCACCTGGGGTGACGGTGAAGTAAGCAATAGACGGCTCCCCAGGCTTCGAGGAAGGCTTCTCAGGAGACCGCTTTGGCTTACCATCAGCCAGGACTCAGGAGCCATCAGACCCCTGACAGGAAGTGGGGTTCATCCTGAACCAATCACCCATCACCTGCTGGAGAGTGGGGACCCAGGGACCTCAGGTCCCCAAGGCAGTTCTGATCTGGGTGGTTGGGTCCCAGGTCTGCCTTCACTCGCCCGTGACCTTGAGGACATCCACTCGCCCTCTGAGCCATTCCATCTAAGAGGTACGCGGTGACAAGTGGGGGAGCATGACCGGGGCCAGACTGCTTGAATTCGAATCCCACCTCCGCCTCTTACGAGTCCCCCCACCTTGGGAAAGGGACTCCACCTCCTGAGTCTCATCACAGGGCCTGCGTCACAGGGCTGACCTGAGGGGGAAATGCGTTCACATTTGTAAGCTCTTAGAACACTGCCTCGCATGTCATAAGCTCCAGATACCTGTCCTTCTTAAGTACCTACTATGTGCCGGGCCCTGGGCTGGGTGCTGGGACCCGCTCCTGCCTTCGAAGAGCTCACAGTCTAGAGAAAACATGGCTGAATGCAAAAGTACCCCAGACTCTCTCGAGGCCCCAAGGGGCAGGGGAGGGAGAAGGAAGTTTTGAACCAGCCCAGCTCCCAAAGGAACAATCAGTAGCTGCTCCGGGACCCAAATCATCTGGGTAAGAACTGACCTTGGCCAGTCTCCGTCCTGCCTGCAGGGGGAGGTATGGGGTGGGGAGGAGGCAGGAGGACTCCTAGGCCTGGCAGGTGGAGAACACTTCCCATCACCTGAGGGTGCCCCCGGCTCTGCTTTTCTACTCCCCCCCCACCTCTACACACACCTGTTTCTGCTTGAGAGGGTCTGATGGGGCCAGAGGAGGCCTCCCCCAGGATGTGGTGGGTAAGTGGGGCTGGCACAGGACAAGGCTGGTGGTTTCCAGGGCACCAGGTCATGCCAGCATGTCTGGACCTTTAGCTGGAGGGGCCAGGAGCTGTGCCTGGCACCAGGGCCCATGCCAACTGCAGGCAGCTGCCTGGGAACCAG